TAGGTTTCAATGAAGAATAAATAAATATTAAACTGAGTCCGTTCTCGTTTATCAAAGTTATTCCTTTAAAAAAAAAGTACAATTTTATTCAATTATGTTCAAAATAATATTCACTATAATTTGCAATGAGTTGTTGCCATTTATCAGGCAGCTCTTCAATAAAATTTGTTTAAAATTCCGCAGGAGTTTTAGGTGAAAAAAAATCTACGAACTTTTGAATTTGGTTTTTATTAGCGAACTTTATCTCTTCATCGATGCGTCTTCTAACAATCAAAATAAAAGCCTATTTTTGAATTATTCTTCCCCTGTTATTAGTGTTGTATGCAGCCTTGCGTTTTTCTGGTTGAGGACAATATTTTTTCTACTGACATAAATCAAGGCGTAAACTTTTATAGACACCTTGCAGCTGCTTGACTTATAAATGCGCATTTAATGCTTTATTGCGTTTTAACTACTCTAAATGAATAATATCATTTGTAAAAAATAATTTTCTTTAATGGAGCTCAGCTTTTGGGATCTGATGTGGAGATTTACCGTGGCTTTGATCAACGTTGTAAGTTAGTGTACTCCAAATTTATTATTAACTGTCACTGATTAGTAGCTAGAATAATGGATTCGTCATTACAGTTGATTCCCCAAAACGGAAATTACTTATGACTCATTACTTATGATCTCATATAAATATTTATGAAGACCTACCGGACACTATTTGTAACATACTTGTTGACAACACAAATATAATAGCATCATCTACATGCAAAAAAAGACTAAAAATAATGGAAGCCTTATCAATAAAAAAAAAAAAGAACAACAACACTTAATAACATTAACTTTGAACATGGACACAATATCTTGACCGTGTTTTGAAAAATGAAAACATTTTATAAAACATACATGCAACAAACTATTTCTTATTTAACAATTAAAATATTTAATCATTAAAAATGGCTAAATGTATAGCCGAAAGCGTTCGGATAAAAAGAACATTCGGACAGTTTTTATTATATTTATCATCTGAAAAAAAAATTATTGGATCGCATGAGAAATTGTATAAAAAACTAAATAAAAGCACCTTGTCTGACGTTTTCAAGGAAGTATATATATATATATATATATATATATATATATATATATATATAATGGACTCTCCGGTCGGTTTCGATGTATGAGGATCTGACAGCTTACTTGATTCAGTTATGAAATTTTGTGCGATAATCTTAAGTGGCATTTAAGACCCGCTAGTGATTTACAAAGGAGGCCACATATGGATCACGTGTGAGGATTGTGAGATGAGATCACTGTTAGATTGGCTGACTTTTTAGATCTTGCTCTCGCTTCTTGAAGATGATTCAGTCAAGCAGATTGAAAATTGCTGAGTCCACTAAAACACGTTGATCTCCATTCTACCCGCTCCAAGGCTTATACGTTATTTTATAGATACAGTTTGTTTAAGTAAATGCTTTTTTTAAAAAATTAAACAGTATTAATTACATTTACCGACCTAGATTGTATGAATAAAAATATCGCATAAATATAAAATATATTAAATGATTGAAGGACTTAATCCATATTATTATATATTACTAATATTACAAGGTTCTTTCCTTCTCTGAATTGAGCACTGTCAGTCATTCGCGTGTTTTTATTCACAAAGTATATAAAAATTCACCTTTCTTGCGCCGCTACGCTGATGGCTTAGGGGTAAAATATCCGGCTGTTGCTGAAGGAGTCCGGTTTCGATCCTGGCTTGAAGTAATCAGATGTATAGCCACACTGATGAGCTACGAAACAATCTCTCTGTGGATGACAGTGTGTGTATATATGTATATCAAAAATACTTTGACAAACTTTGAGTTGATAGCGTTCTTCTTCACTAAACTGTGTTTATCTTTTTTTGGGAGCTTCAGGCTCTGTATCCTCTCAGCTCCACGGTTCTTGCTGTATGATCTCCTTTTCCTCTCTTCGCGCGAGCCAAATCGTTCTGTAGCATAACTGACTATCATTGTCGATAAGACGTGTAACCGCCTTTCAGCGTTGCCTTTAGATGTAATAAGAATGATTCTGCTGACGTCTTCGTCAAACTGTTGCCATTCGCTGTGACAAGTCGCTGGAGGCCACTTGCTCTGCTTACGGATTACGATGCTTGGGGTGGTTTAGTCGGTTGCTTGGAGGGACTGGGAGCTGTGGTGTGAGTCCCGGCCCTGCACCTCCTCCGTCTCACCAGGGCCTAAATATGTGCGTTGCGTTGGACCTCTCTTATCCATGCATTTCATCCTAGCCTGGTGTATTTTAAGGCCGCGCAAATTCTTATATTCTTTCCCGCCGTCGCAAATCACAATCGAAGTCCTTTGATCGAACATAAGGTTCAGTATCGAAATATCCGTCCTAACAGGAATCTCACAACCCGCTCCTCTCGGGATTCCCTGGGGGTATGTATCGTTGTGCGCTGTTGTGGCAAATCTGGGATTATTCCTAACGGGCGCTTGTATTTGTACTAAATCGGTCCTAAAATAGGTTCGACGTACAAAACGTTAGGAACTTGGTATTACGCAGAGTAATCTTGTTGTGGTCGCTGATACTTTCGTATTCGACTAACTGTCGTCCGACATCGACTGACTGACCGAGCCCCGTTTCTATTACTACTCCTACTTATATTAGGTTGGAGAGTCTATTAACTATAGAATAGGTGTGTTTCACCATAACACAAAACAAGGACAAAAGTCCGCAAATCCGTTGCTTTTGAGTTAAGATTAAAGAAAATTTGCGGTAGATGGATTTGTGTCGCAATGTAGATTAATATACATTTGTCATTTGTGTAGGTCTGCAGCTAGTCTAGCCTCAGCGTTTAACGAGTGTAGGACTGAGTTAGCTGAGAAGTATTCCGTTCAACAATGGCAGGATATTCATATCGTGGACAGGCAGTTATGATTATCACATAGGGCTGCGCGAATGGTAATGTACGCTAAGTTGCACGTCTGTATCAGATTACGTTTCCAGATCAAAGGCAGCCGAGACATCCAAACTTTACTGCTGTTTATCGTAGCATTGCTGAGATAGGATCTATGGCACCATAAACTATGGATCGAGGAAGATCGATTTTATATTTAACATCGTCTACCGTAAACTTTAAACTTTATAACTCAAAAACGAAGATATTGCCGACATATGTTTATATGGATTTTTGCCTTGGTCTGAGAAATCTGCCCCAAAAGATTTCAAAAGTATTTTTAATACACCCTACACACACACCCTACACACACACACACACACACACACACACACACACACACACACACATATATATATATATATATATATATATATATATATATATAAATTGTATAAATATAAATTGTATATGAAACCAAAAAATCTCTCTCTCTATATATATATATTGAACAATATATATATATATATATATATATATATATATATATATATTGAACAATAAAAACATACTATAAGAAATTTAAATCTTCAGACACACTGGGTTGTATATTAATATTCTTTCGTTTTTATTATTATTTCATTTAGATTCCTCGACTAGTTTTCGGACAACATGGACATCATCAGGAGTAAAAATATAATTCTGCTTGCTGGTAGCAGTGAACTACAGAAATGAATATATATATATATAAATTGCATATATATATATATATATATATATATATATATATATATATATATATATGTAAATATATATTTATATATGTCTATATATATATATATATATATATATATTATATAATTATATGCAATTTATATATATATTATTCATATATTATGTAGGCGCGTTACTTATTGAAAGCCATCAATATCTGTGATAGAGCTAAGCTTTTTTAGTTGGATTGATGTGAATCTGTATACAAAACCACATCAGTCCAACTACATTTATATATATATATATATATATATATATATATATATATATATATAGAGAGAGAGAGAGAGAGAGAGAGAGAGATAGTACATCCCCTTTCCAGGAACTAATAAAACTGTCAAAATGACCAAGCGAATTCAGAGCAAGCATCAATCAATCCAGCTCTTAAATAACAACTTAAAAGAGACGCTTTGACCAACACAAGGGATGACCAAAATTCGTGTTAAAAAAACAAACAAATGAAAACTACAAACAAAAGTTCATTTTATCCATCAAGACATTCATTTCTGTAGTTCACTGCTACCAGCAAGCGGAAAAACTTTTTTCTCCTGATGATGGCCATGTTGGTCGAAACTCGTCGAGCATTCTAACTGAAATAATAATAAAAACGAAAGAATATTAATATACAACACAGTGTTTCTGAAGATTTTAATTTTTTAATAAATTTTTTAATATTTTTTTATTATTCACACACACACACACACACACACACACACACACACACACACACATATATATATATATATATATATATATATAAAGGAAATATTTCTACATGAGCAATTGTCTTCATATTCTAAATTCTACAAAGACAAATGGGGTTTTAAACTCGTGGATTGAATTATCCTTGAATGATCGATTTATTGATTAAGTTAGATTTATTTAGTTTTCTCAGACTCATTGGCAGCAGGACGGGAAATAATTATTCTAGTTCTATATGAATCTTGAATTTGTTTTATGTTTTGTAATCGAGGTCCATTTTTTTTTCAAATTGTTCACTGAAAGAAGACTACGAAAATATCAAACTAAGACATTGCTATTGTTTTTAATCATTTCACTCCAAGCAAGGCAATAATTCAACTAAGACATGGGGGGTTACCAAGTATCAGGGAATTTTTAAAAGAACAATATGAAACAGATAGCATAATAAAAGAAGAGGAATTAAGAAGACAGTTGATATCGATGGAGATTCCATTAAAATGTGTGAAGTTTTGACCGGAAAGCAAGAAACCGGAAGAAAGTTCCACAAGTGCGATAGAAGAAACTATTAGATTAGAACTTACGGTTCCATCTAGCCATTTCAACCGTAAATTGGTGAGGCCTTGTCGCCAGACTGACTGCCATATTACGTTGAAACATCGGTTTCCGTACAATCGCCGAAGTTAAGCAACGTCGAACCTGGTCAGTACCTAGGTGGGTGACCACTTAGGACCACCAGGTGCTACAAGCTTGAATGTGCCGATGGTTTAATGGATAATCGCTCGGAATTGTTAAACGAAGAGCTGAGATCCAATTGTCATTGGGTTCGTTATATTCACTGACGCGCAAATACCCTTGAGAAAGGTATGAATCTATCACTTATCTCCCCAGCTATGGGTTAATTAATAAGACTGGTTTTACTAAAACCGTTATTATCTCAGAAAACTGAATAAAATTGTGTATAAAATATGTAGGTTTTGGCATTAAATAACTGATAGATGTTAATATGAGCTAAAAAAGAAGAAGAAAAGAACAAAGTAATCTCAAAGAAGTATCTGAAGATATTAATCTAACACGTGTTCTTTTAAGTGGACTTTTTAATTGGTCAGCAAACTGGGTAACATGCTCTTATTTTATCTGCTGGTGGGCTAGTAGAAGAAGAGAAGTCATGCATGAAAAAAAAACAACCAAAAAACAAACTACGCTACTTTACGCATTAAAGGAAAAATTGACTCAAGTGAACATCATTAACGAACCATTAGTTAGCAAGAGAAACATTCTTCCACCGATCCACATCAAGCGTAAATTGATGAAGCCATTAAGCAAACATTGTGAATATTTCGAATACATCTGTATATAGTTCTTTGGAGTGGCGATGGGAAATGCTAAAAGCAGGAATATTTAATGCTCTTCAGAAGCGTAAAGTCATGAAAGATTCGAATTTACCATTTCCTCCTGTCTCAATAGTAAATCCGGCATTGCTGACAAAGTTAACCTGTTTGTGTCGAAAACGACCTCCAACTTGTGCTTGACTGAGGCAGGAAATGGCTTGTGAATTTTAATGCATCCGAAACGAAACAACTATCATTTACTCACCATAGAGAAACTTCCCTGCCTCCTATCAGCATGGTTGATGCTCAAATCTACGAAAGCGACTTCTTGGTCTCACGTTCTCCACTGACCTGAGGTGCAACGTCTACATTGAATCAAATGTTGCGTCTACCACAAAGAACGTTGGTTCTCTGCGTCACGTCAGAAGGTTTTTATCGTTTATCCTTCACATCTAGAAATCTTCCATTCGTCCTTGCATGGAATACTGCTGCCATATATGGTCTGGCCCCCACCACTGTTCATCTTGAGTTTCTCGACAAAATCCAGAGACAGATATGCAATGTAACCGGTCTCGACTCCAGTCACTTTCTCACTGACGTAATGTGGCTTTTCTATAAATATTTTCGTGGTATTTGTTCTGACAAGCTATTTTCACTAGTGGCCCGACTACATGAATTTAAGCGTGCTACTAGGTTGGCATCTTAGTCCCAACATGTTACTGCCAAAAAGGTTAAACGTAATTACCCCTTCTGCTCCAGTAGCTTCTTCTCTTGCTTCCTCTTACTTCCTGATAACTATAATCTTCAAAAGTTTAAATGTAATGTCAATCGACATCTATTGCTTTGACCTTCCTTCTTCTTTTTATACTTTCCTCAGCCCCCCTATATCAAATCTTTCCACTTACTTACACTCTCTGTAGTTCCTTGTGTACTAGTGGCACTGCCGTCTTTCTTGGGGTGAAAAGCTTAAAAAATATGAATTTAAAGCTTCCTTTTTTGTATTATTATTTGTATGCTTATAATTCTCACGTCCTCCTGTGAAATTCATATTACACACCGAATTCATTAGTACTCTACCTTAAGTAGCCTTTGAGTCTTGTATTGGGTGGACATTAATAAAAAAATCTTCTTGCATAATCAGAAAGCAGACAATTATGGCGAAGGAATTTGGCTGCTAATATAAGAATAAATGGAACAAATTCTCCATTGTCTCTTGGGGAGATTTCCAGAGAAACCACTAATTTTAATGAGGAACTAAAGGAGAGAGTTTATGAGGATATACGCATATCTCAAACACCTTGGCGGTGATCCAGGATGCTTTAATAACGATCTTTATTTCTGGCGTCGGGTTTATAAAAACGTACTATCTGTCCGAGGCGGAGGTGACCCAACCAAGAGCAATCACCGGCCGGTCAGATATATTTTTTTGACCCCGCGAAATTTGGTTCCTTTTGGAATTCAACCAATGACAATGGGTTTTGCAGCGACTATATATGTAAAAGTGAACGAAGGGAAGTTTAACGAATACAAGATAACAGCCTCCAAACTGACAGTCTTTCGAACCATGCAAAAAAGACAAACGTACAAACAAGATTTTTCCCATTGATTAATTGTGATTGGAATGGCGATAGGCTATGACTGGCGGGGAAAGAGACTTCGGTTGTCGACATCAACAGTCGACATACTCAGTTCTGTTTCGATCAGTAATGTTACTGGAAAAAGGCATGAATCCATCTTAATTCAAATATCGGTTAAATAGCAAGGCTGAGTGACCTATCCTGAGTTGATGGTGTTATAAGTTCATATAACGCCCATCGTTGCTGGTTAGTAAGACTGTAAAGGAAACCCTGGAAACCAAAGGTTGAGTGAGGAATTTGTTGTAGCATACCTACGGACGATAATGTGTGTGTCCCCATTCACATAAATACAGTAGTAAATACTGTATGTTAGTCTGCAATCGTAGATTCGTCTCCAGCTGTGCTGGTCAAACTCTCTGACACCGGACAGAGAGGATCCCCAGACAAGGCTGTCGAAGGGTAGAGTCTCGTCTCGGTAAACAGCTACGAGGGTCTACGGGGAATATTTTGGCCGAGCCTAAGGGGTCGGATACCCCACATTAAATTCGGCCTTGTGTCACATCTGAACGCGTGGGGCGGTTAGCAGATATCCTGCAGTTGGAGATTCGTCTCCGGCTGTGCTGGTCAAACTCTCTGCGTCCGGGCAGAGAGGATCTCCAAGCGAGGCTATGTCGAAGGGCAGAGTCTCGTCTAGGGAAACAGCTACCCGACCCTCGGGGTCTACGGTGAATTTTTGGCCGAGCCTTCGAGCTCGGATACCCCACATTAAATTCGGCCTTGTGCCACATCTGACTGCATGGGGCAGTTGGTAGATATCCTGCAGTTGCAGATTCATTGTGGAATTCACTTGATTCATTTCTAGCTGTTGACTAATTCTCCTACGCGCCGCTGCCGCATCTTATATGCGTGTCCGAAGTATTATCGTTCATTACCAGCCATCGTGTTATTATTTTATGCAGTAATCTTCCCTAGGTTACGACAGAAGAGTTTAATCACACGGGAACATGGATTAAGAATACAGTAGTTCAGTTTGACAAGCGAAGAACTGAAAAGCGCTAAGCCTTTGCGATCCCCTGTTCCATAAACAGACGGTCTACTCATAGAAGAGTCCGTGTTTCAATAATTGGTGTAGAAAAGGTTGTTCAGTTTTTCTACACAACAGATGGTAACAGGTCCAGGAAGATAAAAACTCTTAAAAAATGAACAAGGCTTAAGAAAGAAGGCTATCTTGCCCAAGACACACCATTGCTGTCAAGGCTGCAATACATGTGGTTCTCTTAGGGTACTAATGGGTTATGGTATTCATAATAGCGATTATCTGAATCAGTTTACTTTGTTTTGTTTTTTAAATTTTACACAAACAAAATATTATTGCTGTCATATATGGTCTAGTGTTCCCGCTGTACGTCTTGAGATCCTCGACAAAATCCAGAGACGAATATGCAAGATGATAGGTCCTGATCTGGCACCTTGTCTACAATCGCTATCCCACGGACGTGCTGTGGCTTCCCTCTGTCTCTTCTACAAATATTTTCACGGCAACTGTTCCGTCGAGCTACCGTCGCTGGTTCCCGAACTTCGTGAATTCAAGCAAGCTACCAGGCTGGCATCTTGGTCACACCCTTTCACTGTCAAAACGGTTAAATGTAACCGTCTCTTCTTCTCAAACAGCTTCTCTTGCACTTCCCGTCTGTGGAACTCCCTTCCCCTTACTTGCTTCCCCGATAACTATAATCTTCAAATATTCAAATGTAATGCCAATCGACATCTGACACCTTGAGCTTGTTCCCCGTCCTCCTCTGTATCCCTTCATCAAACACGCCTCTTTACTCTTGTTCTCCATCCTCTGTAACCCCTTGCGTGCTAGTGGCACTCCCGCCTTTCTTGGGATGAATTGTCTTAAAAAAATAACTATAAATTTATACAATATTATTACTATAAGTGGAACTCCTTCCTCGTTCGCAAAGCAAAAGCCTTTGTACATATGCATGCATCATCTTCCCCTTTTTCAATGCGACACGTATCTTTCTGTCCTTTGTAGCCTTTGGTAAAGCTTGTACTTTTGCTCTCTCTTCTAATGACTGTTCTGCCAAACATTTACACAAGCTCTGAGGTAATACTCTACCTTCCTCTGTCTATCTTACATTCAATATACTCTGTGGGTGTCAAATTTTCCAAACTCCTTTTTCCTCATTATGTGACCTTGAACAAACAAAATATAACTATAAATTCATACACTTTGATTACTATAACAGTTATTTTTTTTATTAGCTACACGTTTTTCAGTAGTCGTAACTGATTCATTTTTTTCAAACGGGTCTGGTTTGGTTTGGTTTGTTTTGTTTTACAGCATATCAACCTCAATGGGTTATTTAATGCCGACAACTTTTTTTCTGGTAATATTTTTTCCCTCAAAAATGTATAGCTGGTAATATTATTTTTTTCAAAAACGTATAGCTGGTAATATTAATTTTTCAAAAACTTATAGCTGGTAATATTAATTTTTCAAAAACGTATAGCTGGTAATATTTTTTCAAAAACGTATAGCTGGTAATATTAATTTTTTAAAAACTTATAGCTGGTAATATTATTTTTCAAAAACTTATAGCTGGTAATATTATTTTTTTCAAAAACGTAAAGCTGGTAATATTATTTTTTCAAAAACGCATTGCTGGTAATATCTTTTTTTCTTCAAAAATTTATTTCTGGTAATAATTTGTTACAAAGTAATCCTGGTATTAAAACCTATTTTTACACTTTTATGATGCTTTTTACCTCAGGTTCGGGGTTAACTATTTGCCCATAGCTGGGACCCTAACAGGTGCTACCAACTTGGGTCAG